CCATGCTTCAAAACACGGCCCATTTCATCATAATTCTCCTCTTTAATGGACATTTCCCAACGTATGGTGCTTATCACAACACTCACCATTCGTGAAATAAGACAGCTTAGCGGTTGAAAGAGTTTCAATGGTAACAATAACGAAATCATAGTGAAGTGTTCTTACATCTTAATTCTTCCGTGAGCAGCTTTCACATACCGGTCTATTGGCGACTCTTATTATTCCTCACTGGCAAACAATTCTGGGCTTTTATTTCTGGGTGGTACTCGAGAGTTTATCGGTCGGATCAATCCCGACTACATCGTGAGGGAGGGGAACATCTCGGCTCACTAAGGTTTGGCCCATTAATTCTTGGGCAACGGTGGTCAAGTTCAGTCGCAGGCATAGTAAAGATGCAGCTCCCCGTTGTTGCTCCGACTTTTGCATTGAATTTTGAGGCCTTCCTGAAGCCCGCCTCCTACCTTACTTTATCGGCTGTTATCAGGTCCTGCTACCCACCAATAATGTGTATCCTGCCCCAGATATTACTTCTTGAAAACAACGTTCTACCGTCGCTGTGACGCGCGTTATGGTGTTGCTGAACTTCCCTTTCTAAGGCTCTTTATGGTATCTTATCGGCTGTTATCACTTCCTGCCACCCACTAAAAATGTCCCCATCCTGCCCTCTATCTTACTTCTTGGAACCAACGCCCTACCGCTGCTGTGACGTGCGCTGTGAATTTGGTGACCCTTATCTTCTAAGGCTCCTTATGGTATCTTATCAACTGTTATCACTCCCTGCCACCGACCAATAATGTTCGTGCAGGACCCCCTACATCACTTATCAGTTTGAGGACTCTATCGCTCTTCTGAAGGAAGTTATGAATTTCCGGTCAAACACACATACAGACACACAAACATACATTCACACACACACCAACAACAAACTTAGCGGATTATATATAGTAGGATAATGAAAGAGTGATATAACACGATATGAGTAGTAAATACATGTAGGAGGAAGGAAAATCGGATTGTAATATTAAATGTTAAATCTAAATAATTGCTAGAAACTTCACTATTATGAGTTTTTTTCAATTGAAAGGTATTTTGATAAACTTGAGAAAATTGTTTATCCACCTCATCATCAGTTTGGTTATGCACCACAAGCAAATCATCCATGTATCTATATGGAATGAATAGCTTACTTCTATTAAACTTTTTAGATTCAGCAAGTCATAAAGCGTGTGGGACACTTTTAGTGTCAAGCCTAAGCCTATTTGACCGCACTCGCCACAGCTCGGAAGTAATGCTCTACACTCATGGATTGATAGCTTGGTTGTATGAGGAAGTTGGACCTGGAAATGGTGGCTCCTTGTGTTTGGGGGGTCTCCATTTTCAGCTCTCTTGAGGTGCCTGTGGCATTCGTTCTCAGGCTAAGTTGTCGTTTCAGCAATCATGTGAACCTGGAAAGAAGAAGAAGACGAACATTCGTTGTTGACCCCACCATGTTCTCAGATCAGACACCACCTGTTTATGCTGCCTACCCTCCTTATCCCTGTGACGAGTAGGCGTGGCATTTGACCGGTGGCTTAGAAAGGGGTTCTCGTGGGATATTCCAGCTTGGACAGCTGCCGTCTCTGTGTTGGACACAGACATGACCGCAGTAGCGTCAAAATAAAAATATCTCTCCAGTAGCACAAACACCGCCACCTTTAATTGAATATTAGCCACGCCTTCCACATCTCAGGGATTTCGAGAGTAAGATGAGTTCTGCTGCTCAGCACTTCTGTCGTTTGTTCCCTCTTCTCTCTATATGTTGTAACATTTACATGTATTTTGGTAGCACCTCAGATTGTACGAAAGCAAATAAATATAGGACCTGCACAAAAGCAAATAAATATATGACTACCTGTTGCTCACCACATGTTGCTCACCAATTATACTTCATTCTTTCACCGAATGTGCCTAGAGTTAGGCGGACCAAAGAACTCAGTGAAACTGCACACTCATTTCTTCAATCAGAAGCATCCATGGAACGGAAATACGGCTACGTGCGATCGCTGAAAGAAATGCTCGCATCCCACATTCACCGCCGCCGTCCTCCATCATGACGGAACACACAAAAAGGCCCAAACTCCAAGATCTTCATCTGCCCCACAGAGAACTCCTCGACTTAAGCCAGTCATCACTCACTTGAAATCGGACAACTGCTTGAATATGTCTACGGCCTCGGTGAAACCAGTTTCTGTCACATCTCTTGGCAACACATGCCTTTGACACTTTTCAAAGGATAGAGGATCCAATTTTTTCGCAGGGCAGTCTGACCTTGGTGCTTTCAGAAAGCTGCTTTGCATCTTCCAATAACACATCCTTAATATCTTGAAAACCATTTTGACAAGTGTGTCCAATAAGGACGGCTCATTTAGGGCCGACAGAACATATTACACAAATCAAGAAATAACAACAAAGATTTTATGAACTCTCAGCATTTCGGATTATAAAGGATCTCTTTAAAAGCAAGCTTTGAACCGACGGCACTCACGGAGTGAGACGTTTGATAAGGAAATACCATAATAAAAGGTAAGAATCGCGAAAGGCCCGGAGTGAAAACTTTGCAAGAAGTACGACATCTACAAAGATTCACGGAGTTGCAAATTCGTCGTATCGTATTGCAAAGAGTAGTTAATGAAGCTGCGAATCAAATAGCGCAGGTCAGAGGTATAAAAGAAGATCTGAGGTGGCAGTCTAACGCCGTGCTGTCTCTTCAAAAGGCAGCAGAGATCGTCCATATTACATAAGCTCATGTAACCACAACAGTAACTAATACGACCATACATTATGTCGTTGTACCTATTACATCATTTCCGTAACAAATCACGTTGCAGCCTGTGAATATCACTCCGCACAATACAAATTTCGATATTGCCGGCATCGCTGTTGAGAATAAATCCACTACGAACACCATTCGTATTCTACCGGCACCAACCTTCGTTCGCGGAGGTTCACAAAAAATTTTACACCAAGAGATAATTGCAAATGGAATGGCGATCGCCGGAAGTTCCTCACTACCTCTGCTGAAAACTGAGCCGTGTGTGCGCGGTTAACGCAGAATGGCGCTCACAGTCTACAGATTAAGGACCAAGTGCCGCATTAAAGGCATGCAGATGAAATATGGTAAAATCCATATGAACCAGAGACACTCTTTTAATAACTTTCGAAAGTCTCCGGGACTCCTTCGCAGCATTAAAAAAATCGCCGATATATAATATTTATCACTTCGGCAGGAATAAAGCTACATGGTTTGATCAACTCTTTCGGAATGGAACATTGCAGATCGTGCCTAAATACTTTACCAAGCCGTAATTAACAACAAGTGATCAGTCCCCCAAGTAATACTCTTTATCGTCCATATTACATCCGCTCATGTAACCACAACAGTAACTAATACGACCATACATTATGTCGTTGTACCTATTACATCATTTCCGTAACAAATCACGTTGCAGCCTGTGAATATCACTCCGCACAATACAAATTTCGATATTGCAGGCATCGCTGTTGACAATAAATCCACTACGAACACCATTCGTATTCTACCGGCACCAACCTTCGTTCGCGGAGGTTCACAAAAAATTTTACACCAAGAGATAATTGCAAATGGAATGGCGATCGCCGGAAGTTCCTCACTACCTCTGCTGAAAACTGAGCCGTGTGTGCGCGGTTAACGCAGAATGGCGCTCACAGTCTACAGATTAAGGACCAAGTGCCGCATTAAAGGCATGCAGATGAAATATGGTAAAATCCATATGAACCAGAGACACTCTTTTAATAACTTTCGAAAGTCTCCGGGACTCCTTCGCAGCATTAAAAAAATCGCCGATATATAATATTTATCACTTCGGCAGGAATAAAGCTACATGGTTTGATCAACTCTTTCGGAATGGAACATTGCAGATCGTGCCTAAATACTTTACCAAGCCGTAATTAACAACAAGTGATCAGTCCCCCAAGTAATACTCTTTATCGTCCATATTACATAAGCTCATGTAACCACAACAGTAACTAATACGACCATACATTATGTCGTTGTACCTATTACATCATTTCCGTAACAAATCACGTTGCAGCCTGTGAATATCACTCCGCACAATACAAATTTCGATATTGCAGGCATCGCTGTGACAATAAAATCCACTACGAACACCATTGCGTATTCTACCGGCCACCAACCTTCGTTCGCGGGAGGCTTCACAAAAAATTTTACACTAAGAGATAATTGCAAATGGAATGGCGATCGCCTGGAAGTTCCCCTCACTACCTCTGCTGAAAACTTGAGCCGTTGTGTGCCGCGGCTAACGCCAGAATGGCGCTCACAGTCTAAGATTAAGGACCACGTGCCGCATTAAAGGCATTGCAGATGAAATATGGTAAAAATCCATATGAACCAGAACAGCTCTCTTATAACTTTTCGAAAGTCTCCGGGACTCCTTTTCGCAAGCATTAGAAAGAAAACGCCGATACTCTGATATTTACTCACTCGCAGGAATAAAGCTACATGGTTTGATCAACTCTTTCGGAATAGAACATTGCAGATCGTGCCTCAATACTTTACCAAGCCATAATCAACGCAACAAGTGATCAGTCCCCCATGTAATACTCTCTATCGTCCATATTACATCCGCTCATGTAACCACAACAGTAACTAATACGACCATACATTATGTCGTTGTACCTATTACATCATTTCCGTAACAAATCCCGTTGCAGCCTGCGATTGGCTTATGACACATATGTTACGGTATACTAGCATAACCACTCACACGTCGCACTGCGACACTCATCTACCTGCGCTCTCTCCCATCTGACACACTATATAAACACTAACCGCGCATCGTCTCTTAACTTTCGACGTGCGCTGATGTCGCTACCCACACACAACCAACCTTACAACTTCAGAATTACAAAACAACACCTTGGAATTCAAATACATACTTTAACATCTCTCTTACAAGAAGCCAATGAATCCAACACCCTGGCTCTTCCCAGTGGACTACGTACAACTTACAGTATTCTTTACCTCTAAAACACTACTAGTGCGAGAACTGAAAAACAAAATTACTCAGCAAAAGGACCTCATTTGGTCGGCATAACCAAAGCGTGCCTGCTCTAGCAGCAGTACCTTCCCCAATTAAGGAAGAACTCTCAACTGAATTCGATATTCTTTGGAATGAAATACAAGGAGGAACCTTACTTATAACGGCGGCCACCGTGAATCGCAATCTTGAAATAAGACTATTGGAGCTTAAATGCCAAAAGGCAATTCACCGGCAGTGTCACCGTGCAAGACCTTTAGCGAATCCCCCCACAACAACACATTTCACACCATATACTAATTTTAACTATGAACAAATCCCACAACAATCGCACACCTACCAACCCTCTACTAGCTATGTAGCCAAACCCATTTCTTCTAACGTACAACCCGTATGGACATTGACAGAATGGACTCTCCAAGCATCAATTAACACTCTCCATACTACAACTCAAGAGCACAACTAATTCCATCCTTGCTCTCAAACCAAATCTTTCGATATCTACAGCAATAACTTATATTCGAACATTACTAAACCATGAATATTATAATTTCGAGCACTACTAGACCATAAATTAATCTTTCGCTGAGCAACGACATTTTATTTCATCATAGGCCTAGACTACGTGACGATACACCCAAAACAAAAAAAATAAAAATTAAACTCCGCCCCCTGCTCCGCCCACTCTTTCCAGTATACAAGGACGGAGGGTCGGCCAGTTCCTCACTTCCGTCAAGTGGCTCACACTCCGTCACCGCTCTCATGTCACCACCCATTGCTCCCTTCAACATCAAGTCGGCTAAGATCAGCCTATCTAAACAGCTTACTACACTTGAAACACTACTGAAAGATGTTGATGACTTAAAAGATATTGACGACTCCCCATAGAGCTGTCCTACCGAACTAACTGACCTCAAAATCTACATTACCACCAATAAACTAAAATTAACAAAACTCAAACAACAACTTGAAGAAAAGGCCAATAAAATCTTAACGTACTATGAGCAATGCCTCAAAGCTATTGCAACAGAAGATTCTACACGCGAATAAGAATTCGACCAATATTGGGAAGACCGCAAAGGGGACCAAATATTGGCATTTGCATCGAATATACTACAACAACTTAAGAGACTTACCGAGTTAGAATGCCAAGAATTGGCTGTGAACCTTTCACATAACGAAACAATCACAAACCCTGACATGAATGCACTTCCGCCGCAGATACATACACAGGATTCACTTGCTACACCCACTCAACTCATTTAAACAACGACATGCGAGGTTAGCTGCAAGTAGTGAACCACCAAAACCGCATTGGACTGTGATGCAGTCCAAACACTTCTACACATTACGGAGCAGTGATGCGAAATAGCTAGTCGCACCCGGTGAAACGTACGAGAGACTTACGGAGCGATTGCTCTCGCTTCCGGACCATGATGCGCTGCTATCCGCAATCTGTAGGCCGTCACAGCCTCAACACACGAAGAACTCTATTGCCACGTATTTGATGTTAACCCGTTTACCTATGCCAGTGCGCCTTACTTACAGCCAACTGCTATCTCGGCTGAGTAAGCATATGACGAAGCACGCTTAACCCAGACGTATCTGAGCAGTTGATAAGCGGTCAAAGGGTCGTAAAGACGAGACGCGGCTCGCGTCTACTACAGCGGCGGTCAGCTGTTCCGAACATGATTTCGCCCTTTTCTCCCTTATTTTTTCCTATTTTTTTTCCAAGGTTGAGCTGTGTTATTGTCTCCGTGAGCTATATGAGAACGTGGATTCTTTTTTGTTCTTTCTAATAAAGTGCTTTTACATTCTTTTAGATGTTTGCTTGAATGTTTGTTTAACTGTTCAATTGTTCGCAAAATTTAGGGGGCTCTCAGTCATAATTTACTGGAAAAACAAACTAACCTCAATAAAAAGCAGTCCAGTGAAAAGTGGGAGGGAGTCAACGAAACCAGGGCCGGAAACAGCTGATCTGCTTGCGCTGTCGCTGCTATAGCCGCGTCTGTGATCCTTCGCCGATCGCCTAGTCAACTGCCCTGATGACGACAGTATCGTTTGTTGGGGATTCCCCAACAAGGGATCGCTAAGATAGAGTGCGCGGTCTTAATTGGAGGGCTTTCAAACACAAACATTGCAAAGGGTCAGTACGCACTCTCAATAGTTCGAAGTGATAAAATAGTTGTCGACTTGTTCGACTGTAGGACCTGAGACTACATACCAAGATACCAGTATGAAGATCTGCACAAGAAATGCAGTGGCAATACAAGTAATGAAAGAGCAGTACAACACACTAGAATAATCAATTATTTATACCCACTCTTGATAACGTTTAAACTATGAGATCTAACATATACAAATACAAAGGCAGCATAGTTGTTGTTCTTGCTCGAGGACCTGCTTGCCCTCTCAAAAGGAACCACAACCTGCTCATGCGGTCAAGGTCATACTTTTGAGATAAAAATTAGCAAAGCTCATTGTCAGATTCAGTCACACCAGGTTCATCCTTACTATTCACGGATACTTTTGCATTTTAATGTATTAGGTCATCTCATTCGGAAAACATGGGAATTTATAGAGGAATGGCAGAAAAGCAAAGGGGTTATGGCTGTGGGCTCATTCTACTGTTGAAAGCTGGTACCTTTAGCTAAACCTACATGTGGAATTTGGCTAGCCACAGAAGAAAGTCCTGGGGAACTTGAAGAAATCCAAGTGCTCAGCGGGGTATTACGAGATCGGGCTTTGTGAGAGGAAAAAATTCAGCTTCGAGCAGTTTCGTAGAGGTATTTCATCAATGGTATGTGGAAAATCTGATGCAGAAGTCCGAAGAGGGAAGTACGGAAAAAAACTTGCGGGCGAGATACTCATGATGGTCCCGTTTTGTTCATCATGCACAAAAACAGGGTGGATGAAGTCAAGTGCTGAATCGCGAGACTGACGCCCCTGCTGCAGTTGCTGCCCGAATTATGTCCGAGAAATTGAGAATTGTCTAAGAAAGGGTGTTCGGGTATATCGTTTTCTTCAAAAACACAAACACAAGCAGAATCGGTCGAGTGCCTGTAGCAGTGATGTTCTCCACACAAGAGGTCATTCGCGACTGTGAAAACACAACGTGCCTTCAGGTAAAGTATGGGTTGCCTCGAAGTACAAGCGGGCACTCACAGGCGTCAACATTTTATGAATGCACATGAGAAGCAATCTGAGTTCTGTCATCAGGAGTTCCGTGGACCCAAGGCGATAATCATTATGACAATAGATTCCTGGCTTTTAAAAGAGAACAGAAGCATCGTTGTCGATGTCCATCGCCTGAATCTTGAAGGCTAGATCGGCAAATGGATGGCATCGCACAACTACAACGAGGCCACCACTGCTCGTCACATTGCCACATTTCGAGTAACCGTAATATTGGGCAGGCTCGGACACAAACAATATCGACTGATTTCAATCGCCTTGTTCGCCCGATTTGCTGCTGGCTGCTATTTCAGCTGCTCTGATCAGTCGAAGGTAATATTCAACGGCGAGCGCTACGACGTTTTGTCACTTGCCGAAATTGCCATCAAGAGCATTTTTCTCGCACTCGCACTTCTTGAAAAAAAAGGACGGTGCCAGTGGCTCAAACGCTCCCGACTCAGGTGGGTCAGCGAGGAAAGAACGACCTGCTTCTCCTCAAGCCAAAATATTACTTTTTCTATTTTCCTCATCTTTTTATTTGATTAAAATCTTCCACGATTTTGAATAGGGTGGTTAATATGATCACGCCTTGAGTTTATGGATATAACTTAATAAATAAATAGCAATTAAATACAACTAGGAAGAAAAAGGAAGGTACGGCCGTAACCTACGGTGACGAGCCCTGCGTACGTTTATACGGATCACGAGACGACAATCCACTAGGTGCATTGGAACCATCCTCGCCTCCGGGTCCAGGAGGCTCAGATGCACCTCCGTTCGTTGTGGTTACTGTGACGATCGGCGGGCGCTACGTTGATCCAACGTCCAAAGACACGTTGGTGCACGGCGCGTTGGATGTGGACGACATCCAGCAGTGATGGACGTCGTTCACGCACTAGATGAAGAGCGGAGCGACCAGTTGTGATGGCAGTAGACGTATATGGACTGGAGGGCGATATAGACATATACTATGCACAGTACAGTGTACTACAAAGTACCAGTCGGCTCGCCGCCTAACGCCGGCGCGCCTCCTTCTGATACGGCCGGGCTGCGCCGGGCGGGCGCGGCTTCGCTGCGCGTAATCTCCTTCACATATTTCTAGACTCAACTGATATCCGCCTTTTGTTCTGTACTCCACTTTTTTCCTGTGTCTGAAGTACTTTTGAGCTATTTTGCAGATTCTTCGCCTGACTCCGCCCACCTCAGAGCAGACCCCACCCACAATTTTGTGCCCCACAATCTTCACCGACGACCCTCTGCTGACATTAATCCACTTTTTTCCGGTGTCTGGAGTGCTCTATAACCGAGCTACAAACTTTTGAAATGAATACACTGCGGTTCAGGGCAAGTTCCGCGCACTGTGGGCGGGTCTCAACACACTTTGAGCGTGCCCTATATTCGCCAGATATTTACATTCTACACTGAGCTTTTGCGACTTCCACTCTCGTGAACCGGGTTACTGAATTTTACGGGAAGCACCGCTCACCTTGAGTACGCCCCGCCCCTTTTGGATGTGTCTGCCACATTAATCTGGCGACTCCTTTATAACCTTATTCCCTTTCCCCCCATCTTTAAGCTGCTCCGGAAGCGAATTATGAACATTTTTATGCGGAACCCCAAACTTTCGGCAAGTGCCCCGCCAATTGTGGGCGGGGCTTCCCATAGGTCAAGTGTACTTTTTATTTCTTGTCCCATGCTCTAAGCATCCCCACCTTGACCCGACCTCTCCAAGTCGTTTTCAAGTCGAACCGAATTTCCGGACAGACAAACAAACTTACAAACTTGCAAACAAGCAAGCAAACAGACGAAGCGAATTATATATATGGGGTGATGATACTGTACTGTTCACTATACTATGTAAAGTGTTTATGCATAAATAGTATATGTAGTATAGCCAGTACTGAGACTTGGGTTCAGTCGCCTTCAAGTTCTCTAGTCAATGGAAAGCTCAGTCTAAAAGCAAAGCTTCAATAGTGAAGGAGGTTAACAGAATTTCATTCGCATTTGTTGGAAAGGGAAGTGCTAGGTGTCTAGACGCTCCCTGTGTAAGGGTGAAAGCTATGCGCTCTGATCTTATGATCTCAGATGACGAAGACTATATGGGCGGACACGGGGAGGAGATGCGAGATTTCGGTCAGCGCGGACGGCTGGACTCCGACTGCTGCTCATCGACTATTGCCGCACTTAGCCACTCATCTATTCGTACTTAGCCAGTTATCTATGTGATCCTATTACTGCTAGTAAAGGATTTATTGTACCGCAGTATACTGCGAAGCATAATCGTAGTTCCACCCATGAACCTCACAAAATCTCGAAAATGCCCCCACACAGGGAATGTACTGATTACCAATACCAGCTCGCATGCCAACCCCGAAGTCTAGCTTGAAAAAACAATTTTTTTCGTCAATTTTTTTCAAAAACGGTCGTTCTGACAACGCAGCAAAAGTATATTCCACCGCATATTTTCCGACTGCCCCTCATCTTTGTTTGGTGAAACTGCTCATCATTATGACATCTTGCCTCTTCTAGGCTAAGGCAAGTGGAACTTCATTAATGGACCTCGAAAAAGGATAGATTATCGCAAAGAAGACTCAAAAACTGGTGAATCGTCAAATAGCGCGGGAAGCGAACCGCACTCATCATGCCGTCAACAATTTTTTCCAAGGGAGCTACAGGATATTGAGCTGAGAAGAGCTCTGGACATCCTCCTTCGC